ACCGGTTCACGACGCCTGGCGTTTATTTCCAGATTCAATTTGTGTCTTTCGAGAGACTTGAAATTCGTCTGTGTTTGTATCTGATATTTGGGCGAATTTAGAATTCTTTTTATTATAAATACTTCTTTTCGCCAAATATTCCTGATTTTTGTTATCGGGTTAGTAATTTTAATTTGAAAATGGGAAGTCACGCGAAATTTATCTATTTTATATATGCTAGGACAGCAAGGGGACGATTTTATGATACGTGATTTCTAGTTCAGCAAACCGTTATTTTTAATTTAGCAGACAGGTCTGCAGCCAACATGCGGCACGTAGAATTTCTCAAATATTAAAAAATAGGCTATTGTTCAGTCAGTAAGGCAAGGTATCATAAAGTCACCCCCAAAGGGTCTTCGAAACCGATGCAATTACCGAGGCCTCTCGGTACCTGATCTTCCGAACGAGTCGGAGAGTCAGAGTTGACCTGGCTTTCCCCCCTTGTTGTCAAATTTCCGTCCAGCAAGGACCAGCTTCGTCACCCCCGCTCCAAGGACGTGACTCGTTCCGGGCGCAATGGAAGAGGGTGATAGGGGGTTGGTCACTTAGTAATTTTAAGAACCTCCCTTCGCGTCCCTTCTTCAAATTTTCGAAGATTTGGAGAAGGGACGACTCGATAAGAAGGCCGACTTAGCTTAAGACCACAGAATGTTAGTACACAGACCATCAGTTACATTAGGAATAATAAAGATTCAGTCAGACTCTCACCTAGTGCAATATTCCAAGTACGCGGAAATTAGTACCCGAGTGCTCAACAATATAAGTGAAAATAATCGAGCTCGCAATTTATGCTTTTTATCGCCAAACATTTTAAATATCAATATTTCACTTAGATTTGAACTTTTGTTAAATACAAGTAAAATATAAATATAAAATAAAACAAACTTAACTATAAATAAAAATAAAATACATTCTTATATTTTACGCTTCACATACGTTTGTTTTTTCAATACACACCACCAACTTCCATTTTACTACACATTTATATTTCTCACTCGTATCACCGGTTATTATTTCCCGCAGAAAACCATTATCCGTAAAATCCACAATCTCCGTAGTAATTCCAGCTGGAATCCTTTGACCAATAACCTCAATCAAGATCGAATATCCTAAGCCAGCAAAAGTAACCCGTAACGAAACGAAAGTGTAGAGTCTGAAAAAACCCTACAGACAAAGGAAACGCACGTACGATTGTTTTTCCCGGTGCAATATCGTCAAAGAGAGCCGTTCTCAAAATCCTTCCCCTTATTGTTCTCGATTCTTCTATTCTCTCCTTTCGCAAAATAACCCTCTTTCTCTCTGCAGTTATTGTAAACGGTGGCCACTAGACTGCAACACCGGAGATTCGTCAAATTATGCAACGATAACTATCTGGGAACAAATTATTAACTGGTAGAACGAACGTAACGTGGCTCTGCGAAAAGTTATAATTTACTCGGTGTGCAGCCAGTACGAGTTCTAATTGAACCGAGTGCATTTCTATGCGACAATTAATTATCGGACCGCGATGGTTTAACCAGTTCTCCGGCGAGCATGTACAAGTGGTAGAAACGCAGGTAACAGCCCTTATCGGCGACAAAGCAGCGTTCACCCGGTGACCAGTTAGCTTGCTCGTGCGTTTTGCCTCTGTTGCGTGCGTTCTTGGAAATAGCGAACGTTGTCTCGTGTCAACGAAGCTGCTATTTTTCCTTCCTTTCATGAAATAACGACGCTCAAATGGATATCGTATGGTTAACCTTTTGAACTCTATCGAGAAGTCCTACACGCGCACATGATTACGCAGTCAAATTTGTCGTCGAAAAATACAAAATTCGTTAATTTACATAATTCTACTATCTCTTGTTGTGCCGTCACGCGAGTGATCGGCTCGGCACTTTGAAGTGCCGCCTCGGTGACGCGTGCGATCCGGGATTTTTGGACTAACGGTCGGGCGTGCGTCATCGTCGCGTATAAAGACGGCGGACGAGCCGTCGTCGGGGCACAAATATTATATCGCCTGTCGCAGCAACACATTTGTATCGTTAACATCTCTGATAATTTTCGAGATGTTACAGGAAATATGTTTATTACCTCCATCTTTGAGGGCGATTTTTACGTCATCAATGTGGACGATTACTGATTTAAAGAAAACGTGCGAAATATTTTTCCGCGGACTATCTTCCGTATAAGTTTCATCAAAATTGGTGTGTGCGGGTTCAATATGGTCCCTTGTTAGTTAACTCGTCAGAATTTCACTGCGGCAGACTTTGATACGTAACGCGCGGGAGATTGTAGATGTTCGACCACGGACACAGAATCTTCTATCGTTTCAAAATTTATTTGATTAAATTAGGGTGAACGTCCAGGAAGCATGAAATTAAGGGCGCGAAAAGTAGAGTACGAATAAATTTTGCGAATCAACAGCAACGAAGGGGTTAATAAACACTCGCTAACTCGTGTACTGGAATTGACGTTATTTTACACGACGATTAAACTTTGTCTGAACACTTAAGAAATTGAGAATATTTATACCCATCGTACATAAATGAACTAATGTGACAAAAAATATTGTCACAGGATTCAGATTTCTATTCAGTGTTCCTACTCTAAGCTAAGATTACTTTTACACCGATGGAATTAAAAGAGAAAAGAAATTGCAATAACTGTTAACATGCCTGCATACACATAGCCGATACGAGAAATTTAACAAAAAAAAAATGGGGAAAACAATTTCGTAGAGGGGGCAAGTAAAAGATAAATGAAATAGAAAATCTGAAGCTGTAAAATCCGATACAGGAAATCCTCGTTTAGTGAAGTTCGATACCCACTGCGAATATATCGATGATTTCACAGTAATACAATCGAATATCGGCCATTTGAAGTTCGTACGATGCGAGGAGGACTTCCGTGGCTAGCCAATAGCTTCCGATATCGATGAAATCGAAGTTGTGGGTCTCAATGCGAATAAGTTCGGCTAGTGGGACCCAATAACGATGATATTGGACTCTCTCAAGCCTGAGATCGTTATCCAGAACCGTAATCTACGAATAACCAGAGTTCGGAGGGTTTAGGATGTTTAACGATAACTTTTGCAACATTCCGTTCGCCTGATTTTAAGTGCGTAACCGTTTAAAATCTCACACGAATCAAATCACTATCGTGAAGTCAACGGAGAATTCTTAATTTCTCAATATTGAATTTTTGCAAAATTTTGAATGCTGAAATTTTAGGAAATTTTTGCGAAATTTTTAATATCGAATTTTTGCGAAACTTTTAATTGCGAATATTTGGTGTAAAATTTCACAACGAACGTATTTATATTGTTTTATGTATCCTTTTATCTGCGTTTATTGTAGGTTCGTGACAGTAACAGAAGTTCGATAACTATAAAAATGATCAAGTTGCAAATATCGAATGATACGAGGTAAAAGAGAGATAGAGAGAGAGAGATAGAGAGAGAGAGAGAGACCTGACTCCTGCGTTTATGTTTCGGTCGCGTTTGAAAAAAAAAGAAAAACACGGAAAAGCGAGATAGGTTTGTACGTTCGGTGTACTTTATGAAAATAGAGTCGCGACGTCGTTACTCTGT